CTTATCTGTTTTGTTCATCCTACATCTATTCGCTACTCGAGATGCTGATGACACTGATGTCTTCCCAGCTCATTCTTCAAAGATCGTTACTTCAAAATTGAATGTCAAAACGTAAGTCCAAAAAGGATACGTGTTTTTTTTGCTTGTATCATTGTACAAGAAAAAAACTCGTTTTGTCATCCGCATTTAAAATTCTGTTCCGCAATTCTTTTTTTCTAATGCATTGGCCGGTAAACGAGCAGACGGATCACCTGATGGTAAGAAATCGGCGTCGCCCATGGACACCTAGAACACCAGAGGCGTTACAAGTGCGTTACCTGCCTTTTGGGGATTAGGAGTTTGAGGATCGTTGGGGAGATTAGGAAAGGGGAGGGTAATTGGGTCTCCGGTAACCTCACTCACACGACGAAACACGTTGCTTCACGTCGGTTTTCTGTGAGGCTGTGGTATCACTCTGGTCGAGCAGGCCCATTCGTGCCGAAGCATGGCTCTCCCACACTTACAAAATTCAAAGCAAAGATAACTAGCACATTTGCACTCACTTTAAAGCTATTGCTTAACACAACAATGAAGAACATTAGTAAACACGGAAGAATAATGTTACGTTTACATTCAAAATGGCTTCACAAAAATCACAAAGAACTATAACAAATTCGCTTACAACGATTTCCTACAGCCGCCACGTTAATAAAGTGTCAATGACTCATACATAACCGTTTGCAATCGTATTGTTTTTTTTTTGTAAAAAACACAATCCACGCAAATTATATTGTAATTCAGCTAAGAATGTCTGATTCCGTTTCCTCTTTTTGTTTCTGATTGGTATGATTAAAACATTATGTCTAAGTGTGGGAGAACCATGCTTCGGCATGAATGGAACAGACGTGGAACAACGCTTGCGTTGTGTTTCGTCGTGTGAGTGAGGTTACCAGAGGCCCAATTACCCCCTTCCCCAGTTTCCCCAATCCTCGAATCCCCACAATCCTCCAATTTTTAATTCCCAAAAGACCGGTAACGCACTTGTAACGCCTCTGGTTTTTCGGGTGTCCACGGGCGACGCCGATTGCTTACCATCAGGTGATCCGGGCAGACGGATCACCGGTTACCGGATTATCCCATAAAAAAATCGCCTTTCATTTTGAGTGAAATATAGCTTTTTCTTCTGATGTAAGGTGACCCTTTTCATTTTATAAGCATAAAGATTCTAGATATGTATTAAAATGATAATAGTACTAATACTGGCCACGTAATACCAACCGTCCAACAGATATGACGTAGTGGAAAGAAATGATTAGGTAATATTGAAAAAAAAAAGCTTTGTTTGACGCACAGGGATACTGTTTACTACTAAGCGCCCTGTCACCGCCACCGGTTCAACCTGTCACTCTTACACAGCCATTGTTACCATGTAAAACTAAATGACGGTCTTATTTCTTGTATCATAACTAAAATAAAATGCAATTAGTTGGTTGAAAGAAAAATCAGTAATGTGAGAAAAGTAAGTCAAAATTTGACATTTTGCGTTATCGTTCCACTTGAAGAAACGAAGACTGCTTCTAATTTAGTTGTCAAAATATTATGATTGTAATCACGTTTCCAAAATTGTGACATCAAAAGGTTATTTAGGGAAAATGGAAGTGCCTATCCTGAATGTACTATGTAGGTGTAATATCATTTATTCACAGAACATAATAAATTGCTCCTTTGTCTTTTCAACCTACTTTTGTTGCCGTAATAACTAATTTAATACAAAGTAAAGAATAAAATCTAAGAATAACTTTCACGAAAAATCGAGAAAAATTATACGTAGGCTTTTATTTTATAGAAGTACCTCTGTAGTTTACTTAGCAGTAATAAATTTTTGGATAAAGTGTATTTTTATGATCCTAAAAAGAATAATGGTTTCCTTAAGTAACTTTTTTCTGATATCCGAAACTCATTTAAGCGATAAAGAGCATTAGCTCGCCTTTTCTTACGATTTTGAGACTTCAAACCAGTCTCAACTGAAATATAATCGTATTAGTATATTATGTTGACCTTGTACGATGGTTCTCATGTTAGGAATTATTAACGAATGCACTAAATGTCAGCTTTACACAACCACACGATTCGACATGCTATTTAACTTCATATATAAAACAATTTGAATTCCAAAGACATATTCTTTCGACATGATAATATAATGATATACTTAGTCATGTAGAGGAAAATCTTAGTCTCCGAACGTTTCTCAAAATGCACGTTTTGATCATTTAATTCTTAGTTGTAAATGTCCATTTATTTGAACGATCACGAGCAGTCTGGTGCAGACCGACAACTGCATTAGTTTGTCGTCGACTTTGTCGCACGACTTTTTCAGCTGTTGTCAGCTGGTATCTAGTGGATATATACCATGGCGGAATGGCAGCAACGACTGTCGCAACCGAGGGCTGGGCTCGCTGCCATTGCAGCGGTAAGTCCCCTCTTTGAGGAGTGGCTTGAGAGACGCTACGGCGTCCTCACCTACCGCCTGACGCAGGTCCTCACCGGACATGGAAATTTCGGGAGGTACCTGTGTCTGATGGGGCGGGAGGAAACGCCCGGGTGTCATCACTGCGAGGACCGCCCTGAGGACACGGTGGAACACACAGTGGGAGAATGCCCTGCGTGGGCTGAGCACCGCCGTGCCCTCAGGGAAGTGATCGGCGATGGTGACCTCTCGCGTCCGGGCCTAGTGCAGGCCATGATGCGGAGCGAGGGGGACTGGGATGCCGTCTCCTCCTTTTGCGAAGCAGTCATGCTAGCTAAGGAGGAGGCGGGACGCGTGAGGCAGCGAAGCGCTGCCTCTCGCAACCCAGCCATCGCGAAGGACACACCGGGCGTCGGGGATCGCGGGACGATCTCCGGCCACCGTAAGCGCGGGCCTGCGGACGGCGAGCATGGGTGGCTCCCCGTCCGACCAGAAACAGACCCGAGCGTACGGCGCGTCGCGTTCCGCGCGCGCCTCAAAGAGCCATCAGACCACCACAGATGGGGCCCAATAGGGCCGATGCCGATTCGGAGTCGCGGAGAACCTAACGGGTAACCGGGGCTCCGGCTCGACGTGCAGGAGAAGGAACGGGGTGGTTTTTAGTCAGTAAGAGTCTGACACTCCCTTCCGCCTCACCCAGGCGGGAGCAGTCATTCGATGATTTTCCCCCGTAAAAAAAAAAAAAAAAAAAGTGGATATATACCAGTCGCGGAGAACCTAACGGGTAACCGGGGCTCCGGCTCGACGTGCAGGAGAAGGAACGGGGTTGTTTTTAGTCAGTAAGAGTCTGACACTCCCTCCCGCCTCACCAGGCGTGAGAAGTCATTCGATGATTTTCCCCGCTCAAAAAAAGGGGATATATATCTATCTACGTACTGTTTTTGAACAACAACAAACACTGTTGTCTAAATGAAATCATCTATCATTTACTGTCACTCTATTTCCTGAAAAGATTTACGTATTTATAAGGCCAATAAAATATCATCCGTCTTAAAATTACCGTTGCTCGTCTAGTCTACTAGCACACCCAGCACCTACTGTGGTTAAATGTTATCTCGCCGTAAACATGTGTCAAACGTCAATAAATAAATGTAGGCATGTATGAGTCAGTGTTTGTACAATTAATGTATGTATTTATGTGTGAAGTCACAACTAGATAGCTAATGAGGTTTCTGTATAAACTTCTACCTAACTAGAGATAGTACATATTTTATCAAATATCGATATTATTATCGGATTATAGGCATTTCTTGGTAAAACAAATCTAACGTCATCACCTCTAACTCAATCATTGGAAAATAGAGTTTTCCCAATAGCTACTCTTGTTTTCGTTCAACAACAATCACGGAATCTTCAAATTGACAATGTCCGATACGGAAATCACAATGGCTCCTGTCTCCAATCTCCATTTTGCTGTGTACTTGCGAAACAGTGATTTGCATACATGCCTGTTAATAGGATAGACAGAGAAACAATCAAAATTTTGTTTCACTCTCTCGTAAAGGAGCTAATGTTTCCTTCTAATGTACTTGCTTTTAATCTTTTTTCTTTTAGGCAATTCTTCATTCCTGTTAATTTGTATTGTCGTCTCATATTGATTAATGAAACTTTAGTGACCATTGTTCCATAAAGTAACCATTAACAATTGTACAAGGTTAGATTTATCAGATTAAAAGGGTCCCCATTTATCACGAAACGATAAACCATTGAAAGATTAATAGACGTAAAATCCTTTGAACAAAATCTCTAAAATACACATCACGTACGGGAAAATGTGTCCGACACACAAGGAGATGAGTGATTGCTGTAGATATTGTGGGTATTTACAACTCTTAGTAAAATATGCGTAATACTTTTCATATGATAACCTCATATAAATGCACAAGGTAATTTTCTACATCTAAAAAAGCATATTCCACTACTATCTTCAATTGGGTAGTTTCTGGGGTATCAAAATTAAAAACCTAATTAGTCCGTCAGTTAGATAATGAAAAAATATTAGACACGTGTTTTTTTTTTCTCGTATTATGTTGCAATACTTAGATAAAATAGCGCTAGATTTAGGAGTTTCAGGTCGTTACGTCACACGATATTTCAAATTAATATATCGCTGAAAGTTTAATTTTGTGAAAAAAGAAAAAATACGTGTCTAAAGGTTTAAATGAATGTATCAGACGGACAAATAAATAAAATTTAGGAAAGTACCCTATTATACCCTATTATACATTTAATTTTAACAGTTCTTCAGTCGTCTTACCTGCCTCACTATATGTCGGGCTTGAGTGGTCAATGACAATAAATGTAGCTACTATACATATTTACCAAAAATTCTGACCATTTAACTTAGAACGCCATGATATTTTACAACTACTTGATAGACTATTTGATGAAACCCAGTTTCACAGCATCGATATCCTCTCGTGTATAATACATTTCGTGTTTGTCATGATCTCCTTTATTATACTAATTGTGTATTTATTTTGTCCAACAGATTCTACGACGAATGCAAACGGAGGTATAACATCAAGTTATGGAAAACTTTCACAGACTGCTTCAACTGCTTACCGGTCGCTGCGATAGGTGAGTCTCTTATAATATCCACATCTATAAGGAAATCATCACATCTACATTACCTATAGAGTGTTTACAGATAAAAAATTGCCACTTTCCACTATTATTCATCTCTGAACACAATATGATTGTTGTGTCATTATGTCTTTGTTCGCCTCTACCCATTAAGGCATCCACTGTCGTTTAACAGTTTATTTATGCCTATGGGATTATGACTATAAAATCTAGACCTCGACTGCCTTAAACGCAGGGCGATGGAGAAAGGGAGCTAAACGCTTCGTAGTGTGTAATAATGGAAATTAAAAGACTACCAATATTGAATGCTTTAAAATGTTATTGTCATTAACATTATGGGTGGGATCGTTTTGTAAAGAACATCTTTCAAAAGAACGCCAAAAAAGTATGTAGTGTATCGTGTAGTTTACTAAGTTCTCGAAGCCGGATTTTGACAGTGCGCCAACGACAACTACAGGAAAAACTAGGGAAAGTTTCCTGCAAAACTTCACTCGGTTCTGTTTTTTGTCGACTGAAATATGTGTATGGAGACGTCTACATTTAGATGTTTTGGCGCCTGGCGTTTCTGCGGAAAATATACTTATTCGGGTAAACACTGCTACGTGACAGTTTAGTTATGAGTAGATAGTGAGTTCATTTAATGAAAACATAGCCATATAATTGTATGTATTGTAGTTTACACAGGTTTTTCCATGCCGTCATAAGCTTGCCCGTTATAGTTGATATTTTTTAAGCCGGGTCCCGTATTTCCAGACCCGTTCAGTTCGGTGATTGATCTAATTAGTCGCTCAGCCGACTGTGAACTTCACTGAACAGATCCGTTGATCCAGCTTAAAATTGTTAGTTATGCATTGTTCTCAATATTTTTGTTATCAAAACCTTATTAGCTATTTCACTGTTTTGCTTGATTGGCTGATAAAATTGCTATCGGTTTGTTTATTAAAGTACAAATTAACTCTGACCCACTTCAAACGTCTGAAGGAAATTGTTGTAAATTGACTTTAGATTATTCCATACAAGGTCAGCGATAAACTATAATTATGCATTTTTTGTTCTTACATTAATTACTAAGGAAGAACAGTGTTGTACCAATTTTTAAGGTCAGCTGTTTAAGAATATAGGACAGTTAAAATAATTTCATCCGTGTTCACTGTCGGGTCTTGCAAACATTACATCAAAGAGACAATTCTAAATTGGTATAAGTATCTATACCTACAACAAGCTCCCCAACCAAAAACATGATTGAATCGAACAGCGACCTTCAACCCCAAAATATCCGATGGGAACTGCGCGCACTCCCATTTCGGTACATTTTCGCCGCAACCTTGTTACTCCAAAATTCCCTATAACTCTGTACGTATAAACGTAGATCGGTTGACTCGCTCACCGCAACGCGAAGGTCGAGTATACGCCAGCTATATTTATCAGATCACGCTACTCACTTTTGATACTATAGTATTTTTATAGACAGATAGACTTCATATAGATGTTGTATAATGTTGAGACATCTGTCCCGTCTTGATGGATCGTATTTTTGGACACTGTTGACGTTGGATTGAGAAGTGTTGTGCTGACATGTGTGTGAAATGAGTTGTCTATGTCAGAATGGTATTAAGTAACATCTGGCGTTGTCGGGTTATTTGTACTGAAATCACTTTCTTTTATACGTTTAGTCGTTTATACGTTAACCCCAGTTTTTCAACCAGCTTCAAAAAAAGTAGGAGGTTCTTAATTCGACCGTATAATTATGTGGTTTTTTATATGGTTTCTATTATACGGTAATACTTGATTCGTGATGATACTCGCAGATAACTAAATTCATAAAACTTTTAGCGGTTGGTAACTTCCGTAAACGCGGTTTAAACATGACCAAAAGATTACCAAAAGTATTTACACAAAAAATGAAACTAAACGTTTCACAATCGCATGCAAATTGGACAATAAAATGAACTGAAAATTACTTAAATAATATTGTTGGTACGGCTACTAAAATGTTAGTATGCAGAGCAAAATAATAAAGACTATCCATGGGACGTGTCAAGTGTCTATTACTTGAACAGATTCCTGGGGCAAGGCAAGCAATTGTAACAGACAGCTTTGATCTTATTCATGAAGATGGTTTCTGTTTGTGGAATAAAATTGAGCCTAGATCTGGCAGTCATCTGTATCGTTTGTTCAAAACTAGATACCCCTTTGAAGAACATTCTGAGAAACACTTCTGCCTCAAAACTTTTGAATGGCAAAATCTGGAATATTTAATATAATGTGTTAAAATAATGAGATGAGGACAATAATAAAGTAAGGAATTAATTACCAGACCAATAGTCCGTTGTCTAGTAATATTGATAAAGAAATAAGATCATAATCGATAGTGCCGCCATCTACAAAGCGCAAAAATGAGTAATCAAATTATTCCACCTTTTTTCGAATTTCCTTCTCTTAAAGAACACCATCTTACAATACCAGTAAGATATCTCACAGTAACAAGAAACGGGAAACATCTGCCATAAGATAATGTTTCCACGATGCGTACGTACATCTCACGGCCTCGGCAAGTAAAAGTGAATAAATTGGCGACACGACGGAACTAGTAATAAATCAGGAAAGATTTATATAACACATGAACAGCAAATCCACCTACTCCTTTACGTCAATTCTCGATTTCAACTTTATGGTTTTGAAATAAAGTCGAAAATGCAATGAAAAATTCTTAGATTGGCGTAATTTGATCTTCTGCTGTCTGTACATGATATTAGCATAAGAGACGCGTGTTTGTATATTGGGTGCAGCTGATGAGTTTCGAAGGCTTTGACGAATTTAAATTACTGATTTGGTCTCGTGTACTTAAATATTTGCATTTTACGTGATTCGTGGTGTTGTGAATTTTAAAACTTAGGCTTAGAGAGTCTAGTTAAAACATATTGTTAAATGCAATTTAATACTTTGATTCCGATGAAGGCAATCTATTTTTCTTGTGGCAACGAGCATTTCTTTCTTTATTTAAACAAGAGTTTATTTATTTATTTGTTCTTGTATAGAAGCACTAACTACCGAGTAACGAATGGAGTTTCTTGCTCGTTCTTCTCCACTCGAATCGACATTTTGGAACGAGCGCCTAGCTTCACTGACGGACAGACTGACAGACTATTATTTATTTCATATTTGTTGACGTTTCAAAAGTACCAAATTATGGTTTAATTGAAATAAATGCTTTTGAGTTTGAGTTTAAGATTTAGCATCTTTCTTACATTTTCATATAGAACTACAAGACGGATTTAGATCAAATAAGACTAAAAATCGTGTTCTCTTCATCATAGAAGAAAACAAATTAAACGTATATTTACAAAAACAATTTAAATCACGTAAACAATAAACAAAGTTGAAGTAATGATGGCAATATTTATCTTTGCAATTTACCTGAAATTGTTTGTTTGGGTCACGAAGCGAATGACGACTTCGACTGCGGTTTGCTCTAACAACTTGCTTTGAATTTGCGGTAGGAAATTCAAATAAATTAATTTTGATTTTAATATTCTATTGTACAGTTCAAACTGAGGGAAAGATTTTCTTGTGCCTTAACAGAAGTCTACGTATAAAATCGCTAAAGCAAAAATACCTATACAGGAAATTAATAAAACGGCAAAAATAACATCTCTGCTATATTTAACATCATGTCATTTACCCAAATGAAGTACGTGTTTGATTTGAATTTCTCATACGCATTGCTACGCCATTTTTTGTCCTTTAATATCAACTCCCACTTGTAATATAATACACGTTGTTCCTCCAGAAAATATATTTTCCGCAATATTAAATGGAACAGAAATAATATTGTGATAAACCGGATCTTACTGCGATATGAGCTGTACTTTCGAAGGTTCCTTCTTTAGACGGCACACAAGATTCAAAACCTTTAGAAGTTCTGTAGAAAATACAACTAAAAAGAAAAACCTTATACCTACCAAAGAAATTCTGATATCGATCAGAGCATGCGTGTGTGTTGAAATAAATATTCAACAGTTTTCTATGCATTTATTTGCATTTCAAATAAGACTTGTAATTCACTAGGGGGCTGGTCTGTATAGAATCAGCAGTAATACAATAACAGTACTTCAGAAGTGTACCGGTATTTCCTGACAGTGCATACAGGAAACTAAATTAAAATAGTTCTTTGAAAAGACCTGAGATACTTAAGGATAAGCGGATATTAATACATTGCGTTGTATAGGACTAAACGTTTTAAACACTAGCATGCTTGAATATTATATCGTTCTAAATCTAAATGATCTATTTTCGTGCGAAACTTCTCCTGATTTGATTCGGCAGTTTTTGCGTAAAGACTGACAAATGTACACGCGCTCTCAAAAGTTCGTTATTCACTATTAAGATGAATCATTATAAAAAGTTTTGCTCGACGATTAACGGTACCGAAATCATCTTCAATTCAATATATCAATGTCAATGTTTGGTTCAGTGAACTTTGAATGTATCATTGCAATTTGTACGTGCTATCTGACAATCTACAGACAGATGTTTTGATTGAGTTCAATAGATATTGAAAAAAGACAATAGGTTGGTGTAAACATATGCACTTGAGTTGAGTATAGATAAAAACTGATTGTCATGTAATCCCAGAAAGTAGTATTTTTTTAGAATTCATCATGTAAATTGGCAATGAGTAGGTATGTCATTTCTATAAAAAGATTTTGTTAGGCCTTAACATTAAACATAACCCTTTAACTATAGAAGTCTGCGCGCGCCTCAAAGAGCCATCAGACCATCACGGATGGGGCCCAAAAGGGCTGATGCCGATACGGAATCGCGGAGAACCTAACGGGTTACCGGGGCTCCGGCTCGAAGTGCAGAAGTAGAAACAGGGTGGTTTTTAGTCAGTAAGAGTCTGACACTCCCTCCTTCCTCACCCAGGCGGGAGAAATCATTCGATGATTTTCCCCCCTTAAAAAAAACTAGAAGTCTATGACCACAAATACGGT